CTCTCTCTCTCTCTCTCTCTCTCTCTCTCTCTCTCTCTCTCTCTCTCTCTCTCTCTCTGTCGGCCTCTCTCTGCTGCTCTCTCTTCCTCTCGCGGGCGCGGTTGTGACGCCAAGGAAAGATGCGTTAGTCTCGTGTCAGCTGTTCGACACGCGTCGTCGCCACCCGAAATTTACTGCGCATCGCGAGCGAGGTCAGGTTAAATAATAACGAAACCCCGCATAGAAATGTCTCGAAATTTGCTCTGACACACAGCATAGTGACTCGTATTAACTAGCCGTCATTTGAAACTTGCCTCGTACGATATACTTGGACCTGCAATCACAGTTTGTGATGCAAGTTTCTAAGTTTTTTTTCAGTTGAATTATATTTAGTTGACATATGTGGCATATGTATCTGTAATCGTGATTCAAAACTAGAACTTATTTAACTCTGAGTTTAAGTCTGAGTTGCGTATTAATAGTTGTGTTACCTGGAACTTCTCTCACGCGAGATATTCAAATCCGAATTTAGAGTTGGATCTGAGCTTCCCAATTGAATCATATGATACACGTAACATTGCATCTGCAATCGTGATTCGCTGAGAAATTCACATCTAACTCTAAATTTAAAAAATAGGAAAAAGGGGCAATTCGAGTTCAAGCACAGGATTAATAGTGCTATGTATCATATAGGTAAAAGCCTTCCTTGTGTTAGGAAATCGTGTAATATTTATTGAACATGAATAATCAATATAAAACAATCATTTCGGCTCAAACATGAACCCTCTTCAGTGATAATAAAAACTCAAGGTTTACGATACGAACGCATTACAATTAGTTAAAGACCTAAATAAATTGACATGAATGTTAATCGCAATATTAAAGTTGACAAGACCGTTACCGAAATAATATTAAGTAGTTAATTAATATTGAGAAGTAGCCGTCATAACTTTGTTGAGCTCAGCTAAAAGTAAACCGATCCTGTCAACGATAACATCGCCACGTCTACGAAATACAAAAAAAATTAAATTTAAAATTGTGTATCTCATCTGAGGTAAGTTTCACTCAACGACTATTAATATCTGAGTATCTCACTTATAACGAATTTCAAGTACACTCGGAGAAAAATATATGGCTATTTGGTTGACAACTACACGAGTTTTGTATATAGAATTAATGTGTATAGTTTAGTAATTTTTTTGTAATCATTGCAACAATAGTTTTAATTGTTTAACTACAAAAGAGTTTATTAAATTAAATACATTACAATTCTAAATATACAACTCATGTAATTGCCATCTGCGCGGGTCGTACGAAAAGCACGCGGCTTAGTACAGAAATAGCGCGAATTAGGCCAATTCCTTATTATCGTATTTCAGAGCCTTCCTTTATAACAGTATAGAGCGATCTATCCATTAGTCTTTGTTTGACGGCGCGCCAAAGTGAATGCCAATTCACCTGATTTGTCTCATCATCTTACGTTAAAAAAATACAGATATGCACGCATATACACACCTGCACATTTCATGTATAATTATCCTGCATAAAAAAAAAAAAATATATATATATATATTAAAAAGGAATATTTTTTTAACACTGAGACATCAATTTTTTAGTGTAATAACTACTAATATGGGCCATAGATTCTGATTAAAATGTCCAAATTTATCCCAAAATTGGCCGCTACGACTGAATCGAGAATCCCATCATGCGCAACCACTCGTCAATCTTCTTCGACCAATAACTCGAAAGTCTACGTGGTTATTTGCAAAATAGTAGAGGACTTTTCTATTCAGTTTGATTTAATGTGTACAAGCATAGATCATTCGGTAATCTTCTCTAATTAATAATTCGAAATTTTGCGTGATTGTAAAATGGTGAAGTAACTTTGTGTTCAATTTAACCTAATCTACATGTGCGCGAGCGCTTTCCCATCTATCGTCAGGCAGCCTGTGAATTTCCTGCACGGGACATGGTTGCGCACCTGATTCTACGCGCCGTCGCGGAAATTTACCGTTCAGCTTTGCGTACATTTACCGACATTTACCGATGTAAAGTCCGAATCAGACTAACGATTGTCGACTGACAATTGGCGATCGGCAATTAGTTTTCAATCAATTAAAGCGAAGTAACTACTGATTGTGTTGCTCTGATTGGTTAAACACTAATCGTCAATTGTCAATCGCTAGTCTGATCCCGGCTTAACGCAATGTATCAATCTAACGCGGAACGCCCGTTCGGACAGAACTTCGATTGAATGCAAAACGGTCACGGTGTGTTTTCCTTTTTTCTCCTTTCTTCTTCGCCGCGAAAGCAAGAGAAGGAGAGACAGAGAGCGGGAGAGAATGTCCCAGCTGTTACATGTTAATGTTATTTAATGACTTAGAAATAAATTGCTGGCGATATCGTGACTCACTCGGTGACGGGTGTCACCGGCGGAGTCCTTGAGGAAAGTGTTCGCACCTGCGAGAACGCTCGCCGATGCGCGCCTCGGCGACCGTTATCGTCTACCAGAATCGCTCACCCGGACTTTAAGAGAACGTTTCACCGAGGATGAGTCAGTAAGAACCCGATCTCTTTCGCGAGATTGCATTTTCTAGCGCGATCGTATAAAGATAATCGGGCGTAGGAAAGAAGAGAAACTCACCGTCACTTCGCGTTAACGTATTAATCATCGTGAGCCAGATACACGTACGTATTCGCCTCATTAATACTGAATAGATCGCTGCTTTCTTATGTAACGACGTCTTCCTGTATTCCCGGAACGTTTGTTCGTAGCCGCGCGCGATGGCAGATAAACGCGCGGACGTTTAAATTAAACGGCTAATAATACCGAGCATTCTCTGCTTTCCGCGAATTGAATGGCTAATAACGCCGAGCGCTTTCTTTTTTCCCTCATATTGTTGCACAAAACTCGCGATTGATGTCCGAGAGCGTAATTTGCGAAATCGCGGAGGGACAATTCGCAGGTCGTCAACACGTCCATACATGTGGTATCTCAAATTGACACGCTGAATCAGCGCGCAATGATAGTGGATCAAACTTTCCTTTCTAAAGTCATTAATGCGTAAACAAAGAGTGTCCCAGACTCTCCTCCGCAATTTTTGCGAGAACGTATAACGGATTGAAGTGAAGATAAAAGTCCCATACCGTTTTGCAATGTTCGCGATAAATTTCGAAATATTAATTAAAGAAGATTGGTAAATGATCACTGTGAATGATCACGCGCGATATGGTAGATGAGCTATAGTGGCGTCGTCTACTGTTGTACAATGAGAGAAAAATATAGTTGCTTTTGGCATCAACCATGTACTCTTTTGCGATTTTAACCACAAAAATAGTTATAAAAACCATTGTTTTAATAAGTTAATTATTAGAAAGATGATTCTTCTAATTATTTTTCTGGTTAAAATCGCAAAAGAATATAGTTGACGCCGAAAACAACTATATTTTTTCTCAGTGTATACACTGAGAAAAAAATACTTCAAAATTTATTTGTAGGACAAAAATTTATTTCACAGAAACAAATTTTATTTCTCAGAAATATATTTTATATCACGGTAATAAATTTTGTATCATACAAATAAATTTCCAAGTGTCTTTTCCTCAGTGTACTTATACATCAGGTCAAACTGAACAAAAAAGTTCTGTATTATTTTGCAAATGACTACACAGATTTTTAGATATTATTTTAAGAAAATTTGCATTATCGCAATCATGTAACAATTTTCTTCCATTAATAATTAAAAACCTACGTAGTTATTTGTAAAATGATAAAAAGCTTTTTGTTCAACTTAATCTAATGTACAAACATATAACAGCATACAATTGTCGCGTGTGATCATTCAGTAATCTTCTTTAATTAATATCTCGACTATTATTTTGCGAATATCGTAAAACAGTATACAACTTTTATGTTCACTTCAATCCGTTCTACGTTCCCAAAAAAATTGCGGAGAAGAATCTGGGACACCTTATATAAGCTATCCTTACATGTCAGAAAAAAAAGAGTCAGATTGCATATACTAGCGAGAATTTTGAGGAAAGCCGACTTATTTCACACTGTACTGTATAAACATAATATCAGTATTCACTCAATTAATCATACACGTTGCATCATAGAGCAAACTTATATTGTTTATTCATTGATTATTTTAATGGCACTATTACTAAATTCTCAAAATCCGTAAGCGAGTTACTGATTGCTTACCGATGCGTAACAATTGCGTTTTCTTTTTCCTTATATCTATCCCGTAAAGGAAAAACTGAGTATAAAATAGAATGATAATATGAAGCAAAATTGATTTTTTTTTAAGCAACTGCTGTGATTTATCGATAACTGGAATAAACATCACCATCAGGGCTCTTATCGACCGCCTGAGTGGTTTAGAGTTTGTTTACCACGTTGTTTACAATGTTAAGAGAAGTTGCTTTTTCTTCTTGTTAAAATTTTTTACAAGATTCAAACATTTCTGTCCTGGCGTAATCGATAAATCTAACATATTAGTGTTAAGTAGTGTCGATTATAATAATAAAATTAAATTTTAAAAAGTGGTCAATATTATCACCTTCTTCCCTATATATTTATAATTCGCAGTTCATATTATATTATGCTATATTATAATTTCTTAGAAACCTTACATGCATCAATTCTGTATCCTAACAGGTATATTCCTGTATAAATGAATGAATAAATATAAAAATCTTACACGCGACGAATTAAATGCGAGATGAAAGTTTCGCGTCACCTTCAAGGTAGACGATTCTGAAATGCACTAAACGGACTCACTTTTTTCGACGTGTAGAGCTTCCGGCCTTGCAGCAACATGTACGTCTTCTTCCAGGTGTTGGAGCCCTCGTGTCGCATCCACACCAGACTGAATACCTGCGGGCACTCGCCATCCTCTCGTGACAGATAATTCTGCAATGAGAGAACAACGCGGATTTTCCGTTAGCTGGCGTCATTTCCATTCAATGCGATGTTCGGCATCGACTGGTGATCACCCTTAGCGCGAACTCACCCTTAGCGCGGTTTCGACATTACTGAAGATGCCCCTGTCTTCACCACTGGGAAATACGACCATGTCGGCAGGAAAGAATTGCTGCAAAAAATTAAGGAGATCTCTGTATATATGCCGTAATTCTCCTATTTTTATCTATTTTGATAAATCGGAGAAGGAAACTCTGACAGGACTGATATTGAAGGAAATATATACATCTACACTGTAAAAACTGATGTGTTAAATTTAACATTTCATATGTTCCAAATCATCCACTCTCATTTATGTGTAAATTTAATAAGTGAAATTTATTTAAAAATATATCTGTAATTTTAAATATTGCTAAAAAATGGTTCTTAGATACCTTAAAAATAGAAGAGTAATTTTTAATAACTGTACGAAAAAAGAGTCTTAAGGGATGCGCGTGTAAGAAAAAATACCGCTTAAAAATCTGCTAAAAAAACTCAACGTAAGGAGTAAAAAAAGGCTTTTATTTTTTGCAATAAAAAGGGAAACGCGTCTCAGAATTTCACCTCCCCGGAGGGCGACCGATTACGACGTTCAGAGTTCCCAAAGTTTCCGCGCTCGTTATCCTGTAATTGGCCAATCATTGGCGCACGGAGGCTAAGTTACGAGACTTACGAAACCACAGCCGACTGATTTCAAATCGTTAATTGATATCGGTTCGGGTACATTAATTAGTGCCGGAATAGCCCAACCAACTAGTCCCAAATGCATTCCCGGGAAAACCGGTACCTTCTATATTTCGAACGATCTCATTTCCTACAGAAATAATTAACGTAACGATAATTGCGGCATCTCTTTCAACGTTCACGCCGTCATCCATATATTTTACATAATCGCACATGTACTCTCCAAAGTGCAACACGGGGAAAATACTAAGGATATTACTTGTCAAATGGTTACCAATGGTAAACTAAACAATGGTTACCATAGCAAAATATTAATGTTATTTTTCGCCCATGTATGTAAAATGGTTGTAGAAACTCTGTAACTCTGGGAATGGTTCCAACCTTCTTTACTGCCTATCCAAATATGTTTTAATAATACTTTCAGTGCTGTATGATGCAACGAAACTCTACTGTTCTCTCAACCATAGTAGTTGCGCAGATCACAATAGAGAAACAGCAATATTGGTTGAAGCAACTATGTTTATGAGAATGTACTAACTGAACATTATATAAGAACTATGGATGTGAGAAATGTATAGAAATGTATAGATGTGAGAAATGTATAGAGTGTCCCGGAACAACCTTCAAAGTTCTCATGAAGATATAGTACGGATTGAGGTAAATCCAATATAGTTTTATGATATTCACAATAATCGAGATATTAAAGATAATTAAATCACAGAAATCTCATTTTTCCTAGTTAAAATCGATAAGAAATAAGATGAAATGAAAACCAGTTAATATTCACTGATCTCGTCAGTGAATTAGTCCTTTTTACTGATTTAATCAAAAATATTTTTACTGATTTACTTTAACGGAAACGATGTATCGACTTGAAAACAGCGTTACGCAGCCAATCCTGTAAAATCTCAGGACATGGACATTCAATCAATACTGCCGAATTCTCGAAACCCCATTGCCGTTTCTGATCACGAGAAAGTCCGCGCCATCTTTTAAATCCACCTATGCTTCTCGACTAAAGGCCACGTGAATCGTCGGTAAACGAGAAACCTGCCATCAAGAATCTCTCCGGATATTCGCGCACTTACCACGTTCCACGTGTATAGAACGACATTGCTATACCTGTTCAGGGTATCGCAACCTATGAGAAACTCGTCAGTCGGTAAGTTACCATTCACGGGTTGGCCGTACGGTAACATACCGTTCGCGATGATGGTAAAACTACCAAAAAAAAAAAAAAAATGGAAATTCTTTCATCGTATTTTTCAAAATTTTTAATAGTAGTTTTTGTAGAATTTCAATGAGTTATTCCGGCGAAACTTATTAGTGACTTTTTGTCCTACCTTAGGATTGATGAACAGCTCGTACTTCAGGAAATCCTCGCTGAAATAGAACCGCCTCTCGTGGCCTGAGGCGAACATTTCCAGTTCTCTATGAACTGCGAGAATGTCTTCATGGTCTTCTAATGTACGTTCTGCAAAAAGTAGATTCATACTGATTGCCGTAAATGTTATCGTAAATGTCAGGCTTGTATCGTAGATTCCAAGATTATGTCTACGCGGATTGTTTACGAATTCTTTACGTGATGTATACACGGTCTTTATGTAGACAACGTAAACTATGTAGAATGGCTATAAATCATATTAAAATATACAGAAAAAATATATAATTAAATCATGAGACGATTACCGTATATTCGTTTTGAGTATTTATTTTTCTAGTTAAAAGCCATTTTACGTCAAAGATAAGTCATCATTTCTTACTAAATTTGACCTACTGAATTCAAATATAGTAAACAATTTTTTTTTATTGGTGATAGTTTTAGAGATGCAAGTTAATGGATTTTTATAATGGATTTTCCTTCAAAATTAATATTATCTTTATGTTCGGTAAATTTTTGCAAAAATAGTTTAACACTGCTATGTTGAAATCGATATTTTTATAGTAAGGCCATCCTGTTAGAGCCATTTTATACTGCATAAATTGTTTTATTGCTGTCAGAGTGATTTATTGACAGGTTACTTACATGAATCCGTTTTTATTTAACTGGGAATAAAAGAAGGTGGTATCTTATTTGAAATGTGTTTTTTATTTTTTTAACGTTATATTTCAACATACTTATTAAGTGTTATTTTACAAGTAAAATTGTAATATGTCGCGTAAGTATGTGTTGTGTATATAATAGATGTGATTATTTCTGTTACATTTGTAGCCAATTTATTTTAGTCAGATAAAAGTGCAAGGTTAATCCCATTGACTTGTAAAACATATAAATTATATTTCTTATAAATTACAAACTTATAAATTATACTTTGGCAATACTTATGAAAAGTAGGAAATAATAATACGATTTGGATTCTCCTCATATTTGTTTTAAAACTTGTACATATCAATCTTACAACACTAGTTAAAATATAAAAATTGAGCTGTTTTTCTTAAAATTTATTATAAACTAAATTTTATTATTATTTATTTCTTGTTAATGGCGTTCGAATTATGTGAAAAATATACCAAAGGTTTGCTCGGAGCAAACAAAAAGTAAAAAATTGTTGTCTAGTGTTATAAACGTAATGTTTAAAAAAAATTAAGTGTGTAAAATTGTTTTATTATGTGACAGATTGATTTAACTCCGAATGTGTCAGAATATAACCAGATAATTTCATGTGTATGTGTGGTTACTTGTTTAGAAAATAACGTTTATTTTATATATCAGGATTCCAAAAATTATATAAAAATATAAACTTTTTTAAATTTATTTCTAAGTAAGGCGTACGTTCTTTATACAATATCCATAGATTACTCATTGTCTACATAGATGACATCTCATATACACTTTACATTGTCTACACGTAGACATAGAATATCATAATTTACGCGTAAACGTTTAATCCTGCTAAATATCGCCGTCGACATATATTTGATACGTTCAACGAATTTTAAACAGTGAAAGGTTCGTTCATTGCTTGATCACCATCTCTGGCTATTTATCTAATGAAAATATTCGTTTGAAGTAAATGTAAAAAATTTTTCTCGATAAACCGAAATTATTTTTCATGTTTATACCGTACGTCATGTTTATATCATATAAAAAATCTCTGAAATAATATCTAGTATTCTATGTCATCAATCTAAAAAAAAAAAACAATCAAGTTTCTGTTATCTCAAAAATAGAACTTAAAAAATGTACATTTGAAGGTGGAAATTTAAGAGAGTAGGGAAGACCGAGGCTATATGGTCCCAGGGGTATGTTGCTCATGTGCTCTTTTTAGTATTTATTTTTAGAGGGATAATGGATACACAACAAAATCGCGAAATGATCCTTTTGGAACATAAGTACTTGTCCTTGAATTTCATTAAAATTAGAATAATATTACAGTTAAGAAATAGAAAAAAACTGAGTTGGTAATAGCAAAGTAAATTTTCGAGCCTTTCGAAATTTTGTATTAATATTCTCCATCGTGACTAAATAAAATTAAGCGATGTGTACTAGCTAGAATGAAATTTCTTGCAAATGTATGATATACTGTTTCTGATAATAAATGCAATTTTCATTCATAAAATGATTGAAATAGAGCACATGGTCAGACAAGATAAAGTTGGCTTATAATTAAGGGTCGGCAGGAGACTTTTCACAGAGACTGTGGAACCACTAATTAGGATATATATTTTATATGTGACTTGCGCTACTGAGCAACTTGAACCGAATACCAGGATAAGATGGCTCTATTGCTGCATGTTCGTATTTTAGTTATTACAAAACAAAATATATGGTTAACAGGATCATGGCGGGCATTAATATATAGAAAAAGATTACCTTTCATGTTTCTTTTTGTTTATACAATTAATCACAATTAGTTGCTTGAGAAATTGTAACTTCGAAATTCTAAAATATAAGACATCTAGCCTCGATCTCCCTTGCTTTTTTGTTGATCAAATCTTTATAATGAGATTTACGTCTACACAGATCACAGATCGTCTCGTCACGTGGTCGGTCTGAAAGGCTATTTCGCGGGAAGCACGTTAAACGAAAATAGCGCAACATTTGTCCCGGAGCTTTAAACAAACATTCCGGCATGAAGACACGGCCATGCGAGTCGTCGTCTCTGACCTGCACCAAACTCCTGGAGGTTCGCCCGCTATTGATTCTCGGCTGCATTATAGAGCCGTCTCTCTCTTTCTCTCTCTCTCACTATCTCCCTCTCCTACGCCCCTACCGTGCACACATTGTTTCCGATCTCGTCCCAAGTCAATGCCGCGGAGAAAATTTCGACGACTAAAGTTCTGGACGCATTAAAGTCTCACCACGCCGTTTTTCCGCGGAGTGACACGCATCGAGGAACCTAACGAGGTTATCCGACTCTTTCGCGCACCGATATTTTATAAATAAACTGTCTCCCCGCGAAGAAGACTCGCAGCTCGATAAGAGAGAGGAAGAGAGGTAGGGAGAGATCGCGTTTGTCAAGTTTCAACATAGTTATCAGGCGCATTACTCCAAAAATACTCGCACGATTGTCCGTTCATTTTCTCACTCGAGCCTATTTTTCCTCGTACGCGTCACGGAAAATCTGATAACAGCCTGCATACTAAATCGGACATTTAATTCTGCGAGTGCCGTCCATTACGTTTGTTTGTTCGGTTCGCTTTGAATATATGGATCCTACCCGCTTCGGCGATATATAAATAAACATTGTACGGACTATCAAAGTTCTGAGGCAACGCGTTTTACGTTCTAAAAATATATTTATTTCCTCCAGGCGAAACTACCTATTGTCTACTTTGACGAATAGTAGTCGCGCGAAATAGGACGATTACAGACTTCGAAAGCACGGTCGATGACATGTTACTACTCGCGTGACCATGACGGAGAAATATGTATACTTGAGAACTTATTGATTGATTCTTATCTACATTCCCGATCCGAGAGAACATGTAGCTACGTCGCTAGAGAAAGAGAGAGAGAGAGAGAGAGAGAGAGAGAGAGAGAGAGAGAGAGAGAGAGAGAGAGA